GCCCAGCCCTCCCCCTGCGACTCACCTCCAGGCTCCGGCGAGGCGCACTTTCCGGCCCGGGAGGGAGTTGGGAGTTTCTGGCAGAGCTTGCCAGTGGGTTGTTGCTGTTTACTGCCACGCCCCCGCACGCGGGCGCGCGCACTCACTCTCACGCGCGCTCACTTTCTGGACTCGGCTTTCTCTGCAGAAAGCGGTTTGGGGGTGCAGCCCAGCGCACCTCGCGGGCGGGCTCTCCCTCCCCGCAGGTATCCGCGCGCGCTCACACACACGCGCGCGCGGGGGCCACAGTGGTGCGTCTGTCCGTGGTGGAAACCTAGCCTTGGTCACCTTCGTCCTGGGTCTCCCGTGAGACACCCTCCGGACACAGCTCGCTGCTCAGGGCTGGAGCGAGAACACCCTCAGACACAAAGTCCGCCTTTGTCACGCCTTCTGCGCCCCCTCCCCTCGCTTGCACACGTGGACACACCACACACCGTGTCCGCCTCTTGCATGCCCAGCTCTTCCCCAACACCGGGCCACCAAGCGTGCGTGGGAAACCACTGTGCGCGCCCCTAATACGATGGGCCGAGCTCAGAACCACTCGGGACCTCGGGAGCCAACTTCGCCCCGAACCCGACTAACCCGCGCCTGGGTTTCCAGGGAGCAGCCCAGACTCGGGCCAACTCTGAGCGCTCGCTCCGCTCCCCGCGCCCCGGTTCCCTGTTCCGACTTGTCCTAATTAGCCACCGTGCTGCTGTTCCCCGAGGTACAGTGTTTATCCCGGCCCGGGGGGCTGAGCTGCGGGCGCTTCGGCCCTAACTCCGAGTCCTGTCCTTCCCATCGCCCGGGGACTTTTCCACGAGTTCGGGTGCGCTCGGCCCTCTCCACGCCCCACCTCCACTCCCTGCTCCGAGGCGGATCAGCGGGTTGCCACGCTTTTCCCTCCAGGAATCCGCAGAAAGGGGGACTGCAGAACTGAGGCAGCGAATCCAGGCTGGGGCCTCCCCGGGCCAGCGAACAAGAGGAGATTTTCCGGTGTCCGGCCTCCCCCCGGGGCTGCGGGCTCCGCGCGAGGTGGGCAGAGCTGGCCCGAGCGCCCCGCGGGGCCTAGTTAGCGCTCGCGGGAGGCCCAGGGGGCCG